GAACAAGCTTCCTGTAAAGCTTGGTCATCTTCAGGGGCCAAGAAGCTCCCCAGACAGTGACAGGCAAATTTAAAGTGTTTTCTGGCTTATTTTATCATGAATAAGGTATAGCATTTCCCAAAATGTGTTTTATATTGTGTGTGGTTCTGTAGGATACTGATGGTTATTCATGTGTGGATCTAATGCAAACTAACTGGCCATAGTCTTTCGCATACAACAGCCCAAAAGACTAGCACTCCACAAAACCTACTTTGGGAGGTGCTCACCTAACAAATAGTGCAGAGCCTAGCATAGCATGCTGTTCCATAGCAGGACACTGCTTCCTGAAATAAAATTGCTTCAGAAAGTTTGGTAAGGGATTATCAGAATCTTACAGGCACTTGAAATGGTCTAAGGGCCATCCTTATGGATTCTGCCTTCCTGTTTTCCCTTTTATTTTGTCTCCACCTAGGGCAATATGTTATTTCCTAAACTTTATTTCGAGATAATTGTAGATTCATGTGTGGTTTTAAAAAATAATACAGAGACATCCTGTATACCCTTCACCTGGTTTCCGCCAGTGGTAGCATCTTGCATAACTGTAGTGCAGTATCACAACCAGGAAAATGACATTGGCAAAGTCCACCCACCTCCTTCACATTTTACAAGTTTTACATGTACTCGTTTATGTGTGTGTTGTGTATTTCTATGCATTTTTATCACATGTAGCTTTGTGTGACACCAGCATTTATAAAAAATGGAATAGTATGGACTAGAACGATCAGAGTGCATCACCCCTATTAAAGTAAGGATTGATGTGGAAACATGTTTTAGTTACATATGCACTTCCTGACTGGATTATAGAAAATGTCTTTTTACTGTGAGTTATAGTCAAGAGGTTTGAAAGCCACAGGTCATTCAGTCATGAGACTTCATTTAATTTCATTGAAATGGGTTCCAAGAGAGCTTGAGGTACTCTGATTTCTCATTCTCTTCTGGGATGTCCCTGGTCACTACTTCTGGTAGGTGGAAAACTTGGCTACATTAGATATATTGAGAGATGTCGACATATGTGTTCTGTATCCCATGGATTATTTAAGGGGTTTTAAAGGGTAATTTTGACTAGAAGCAGTTTTTGCTTTCTTGCTGACTTTGGAACATAACTCTTTAGTAAGTTGGAACTCACTGTTCTCTCTTGCCAGTAGTGACAATCAGATTTCTTAAAAGTACTGTAGATGGCAAAATCAAGGTTGCTTAGAAGGTAGGGAGTTAGAAGGAAAACAAAAAGGCATTAAGTATTTTTAACAGCAGTAAATCCTAAGGAAGTATCTAATTCTAAGATGCTTTGTCAGCATTCAAAGTCCACCCTGGTGTAAACCCCTGTCCAGATTCACTCCTTTCTCTTCACCTTGTTTCCAGAACACACTTGGTGTTAGCATGGATCTAGTCTCAAAGACCCTTGTTCTTTTTTGCTACTAAGAGGCCCTCTGGAACTTTAGTCAAGGCCTGTAGGAGTGGGAGGAGGAACGTCACACACATCCGTCAGTCAAACACACTGAGGGATGTGGGCAGGAAAAAGTGGTCTATTCTCAATTACTGCCAATTAGCTCACTGCCCTGAGGGTGCACACCTGGGAGGTGTAGGTGTCCTTGGATATGAGCTATAGAGGTACAAAACAAGGTTTTGGAGACAGACTTTGGTATGAATCCAGGTTCCACCACTTTATAGCTATGTGACAGCAAATTTCTTAATCTGAGTCCTGGTAGCCTAATCTTTAGTTGGACATACCACCTACTTCACAGGGCTTTTTAAAGGAAAAGAGAATAGATAAATGCCTGTCACATCATAAACATTACATATAATGCCTATCATTTTAATTTATAATGCCATTTGATAAATCTTCGTCCCCTTTATACATTCAAGGGGATCAGAAGTGACAGGACTGCTGGAGAAGCAAAGTCCAACATAAACCAAGTCTCATTTCGTTCTTGGGGCTTTCCAGGCCTTCCCCAAGACAGTTGGTAGTTCAGTATTTTCCCCTGCTTGGATGGCCCGGGGGTGGGGGGCTGGTGGTGAGGAGAGAGGGAATCAACATATCTGGGTAAAGTGGGACCTGGGCAAGCTAAGAACTAGGAGCTCGGCAGGTAAGGAAATAGGACATCAGGAAGTGGCAGGGTGGAGTCAGGGGGAGGAGTTGAAACCAAGGGGGAAAGAAAATAGCCCCAGCCGGTGTGTGGGGAGCTGATACTTGGTAGTTGCCATTCAGTTCCCTCCAGTCACCTTCAGAGTAGTCATGATGGACTTTGACCCAACAGCTACTGAGACCTAAGCCCCCAGCCTGGGTCTACTCTATGGTGGTAATTTTGAGTTCAAGCAGTGCTGCCCCCTTCTGGGGGTTGCTAAAAGTACTAATTTCTGTGGTTCCTAGTCACCTACTTCTGGTACAGTATGTGACCCAGATAGCCATCCCAGATCTGGAGAATCTGGCCACTTAGATCTAACAGGAAGGACTGGATTTCTTCTGCCTACACAGCTGATTTAGGACTTCCTGAAGCCAGGATCCTGGCCAGTCTCTAGGTCACAGGATTGTGCCCAGAACCCTTCAGAGGCTCTAAACGGCTCATGGGCTCTTGTCTTTGGGGAGTGAAGAGGGTTAAATAGTGGCTCAAGGAGGCCAACCAAAATCCAGGAAGTCCCACCCGCAATGCCTGCGCTCACCAAGAGTTAGGGAGAATCCCCAATCCTCTTGTGTCACACCCACCCAGTTGCAGACGGCAGCATGGGGCAGCAGAGAGAAGTGCAAATATTTAAGAAGGCCCAGGAGGATGCCATGCCAGGGTCTGGATTGGTCACTCCGATAAAGGTGCCGTCTCAGGAAAGGAGGGCGGGGTGCAGGGTGCAGCATCCGTGGGATGGAGCATCTGTACACTGCTTGCACCAGAGCCCTCCCATGGGTGTGGGCGAGGGGGAGAAACCTGGTGATGAGTCAGTCCCAGGGCTTGATGGGGGAGCAGAGAGGAACTAGATGATCTGGTAAGGAAGAAATGGGGCTGAGTGGGAACAGAACCCAGGTTCTTTAAGTTGTCCCCTTCATACGGCATCCCACACACAGTGTTTAGACAGGGCAGTGAAGAAGAAACAGACATCCTGAATCCCGCAGGGAGGAGGCCAGGGCTGAGAACAGAAGGTCTGTTTATTCCTGGCAGCCTGTTATCTGAGGGGCCCCACACCCACTTCTGTCCAGACCCCAGGCTGAACTCTCCCAGAGCCTCTGACTTCTGCCCGACCAGATAGCGTGGGTCTGAGGGCCAACTGCTGGAACCCAGCGTCCTCTCGTCTACCCGCTGCGCTCCCTTGAGGATGGGTTTGAGGCTGGACACTTTCCTCTTCCGACTTTTTGTCCCAAGAGAAGTCCCACCTCTCTGGGATCCCTGAAGGGCTGTGTAGGGCTGGTGGAGGCAGACTCCTCCTGCCCTTTATGCCCAAGTCTCCCCAACAGCACACAAGTCCTCTTGCTCTATCCGTGAGGAAGTTTTTTCTAATGTCTCACCTCCAGCCTTCTTGCTGCAGTTTCAGCCTGTTCCCTCCCATTTTCAGGACTTAAGGGAATGCGGCTGTGCTTCTCCCCGCTAACCCCAAAGCTGCACTTGATACAAGGCAGAAATCGGGGCACCACACCTCTCAGCTTCCTAACCTTGAACTTGCCTTTTCCTCTCAGTGTACATAGTTTCCTCAGTTTCCCTGTGAAGCAAAAATGTCACTCCTCTCTTGATTTTCATAGGCTCTCTATCTGCCTTTCTCAACAGAGTTCATTCTTAGAGGGGATAGGTGCAGAGAAGGGCAGAAATCCTAATAATGTTAAAAATAGTTGCCTTCCATTGAGTGCTAATATAAGTAAGTCCTTATCACACATGATCTCATTTAGTCTCACAATAGGTGAGTACGATTATGAGCCCCATTTTACAGATGAGGAAATTAAAGCAAGAGAACTTTAGTAATTTGCCCAAGTTCACACAGCTAAAAAGATGGGATCCCAGCCAGTTCTCTGATTCCAGCACTGGCTCAGGCCTTCCCCTCATGGAGGGGGGAAGGAGAGGAGTCATTTGTTGAGACAATCCCCCAGCCACCAGCATTGTCTCAAGCACTGGGGTATGTGCAGTTACAAATGTTACCCCATGATGCTCCCCACAACAACCCTAAGAGGTGGTTTTTCTTGTTTCCACTTAACAGAGGGGAAACTGAGGCCCAGCATTTCCTTGCCCAAGGAACTTGCCAAGTAGTTCACATCCCCAGATAACCTCATAGCCCAGAAAGAAGTTGAGAAAAGTGTGGAACGACCCCAGATTCGGGAAGGCAAGGCTGGCCTTATAAGCTGAAAGGCTAGCTTTTAACGTGATGGGCTGGGGGACAGTGAAGATCCTCAGGCACCCCCAAACAGCCCACCACAAACACACAGCCCTTTAGCAAGGGAGCAGAAGCGTGGAGCTGGATGTGCTATGGGCTGGCTGGCTGCTCCGCTCTGGGAAAGTCTAAGGCTCATAAAATGTAAATGTACTCGCAGAGGCGGGAAGTGGGGAGGGGTAGACTAAATCTTTATTATTCATCAACTGGGATGCATTTCTCAGGTTAACTGGGCAGTAGCAGGCGAGGGGGCTCCAAGCTGGGGTGACCTGAAGTAAGGGAACCGCCCTCTAAGTGGTGGGGGACACTAGTATAGGAGGATAAGGAAGGGCACTGGGGACAAGGAGGGAGGCCTCCCAGTTGCTGCAGCTCAGGATGTGTCAGGCCCCAACCCTCTAAGTGGTGGGGGATACTAGTATAGGAGGATAAGGAGGGGCACTGGGGACAAGGAGGGAGGCCTCCCAGTTGCTGCAGCTCAGGATGTGTCAGGCCCCACCCCCAGAGGCGGGGCTAAGGCTGAGCCCCACCAACTCAGCTCCTCCATCCCTTGGAGAACCCAGGCAGGGGAAGAGCCTGGACAGACAAGCCCAGCCCTGCTGTCCCCAAAAAGCAAAGAGCAGGCAAGCGAGCAGAGCGCGGAGCAGAGACACCATGTACTCACTGGCCAGGACACCAGACATGGGCCGGCTGCGATGACTCCCTCACGATGCTGGGTGAGCAACACCTGTCCCCCACAGCCATGTGAGTAGCTACTCCCCTTTCCCCTCCCCCTTCTCACCCTGCTGGGCCACACCTAGACCTCAACCCCAGATCCTGAAGCAGCCCCTGCACCAGGCCCAAGCCACCAGACCCTCCAGTGTGTGCAGGTCACTCTGTCAGCACCCCACTGGGAAATCACATCTGAGGGCTAATCTCTGACTTTCTTGCAGCTCTGGTGGAGGTGGGGTGGGGAGAATCACTCCAGGGTAAGGCTGGGAGCTCCAGGTCAGGCCAGGTTTGGGGTAATGGACCTTGAGTCTCATGGGGTTGATGAGGCTGGAAGGAGAACAGAAACTGGACAGCTGCTGGGGAGGGAAAGGTGTCCGGGGTGGAGGACCCTGGGAGATACCGAGGAAGAGGAAACAGGGGTTGAGGGGAGGGAAAAGGGGCACAGGGGTGCAGCAGCTTAGAGGCCCAGTTCAGGGGCCCTGGGGGTAACTGGGAAGGGAAGGGGAGCATCTCCCTCTCAGTTCAGGGTGGCCATGGGCTCTGATCCTCTGACCTGGGGGAGCGGGGAGGTAGGAATCCTTTCCTTATTGACTTTAGTCCTAGCAACAGCAGCTGCTCCCCTGTTGACAGAAGCAGGAGTTCCCACAGGACCCAGGACCCCTCCCCCTGTCCCCAGGATGTGGTGGTGAGCTGGAAGACTGAGACCAAGGAGCAAAGGGAAGGGAAGGACAGGGACCTATCAGAGCCACAGAGGCCAGGCCCTGCCCACCAGCTCTTAACTCTCCTCTGGGCTCAGCTTCAGTCCTTCTCCCCCACCCCCAACCGGGGGTCCTCTCCTCGCTGCCGGCATCTCCACGTTCACTGCCAAACGTTCCCCTCCCCCTGCTCCTCCTGTCCTCCCTCCAGTTCCCAGGAAGGGCCTTGTTGCTAGTGTGAAGAGGACGAGTCAAGTTTATGGGCTGGAAGTCCTACCCAGAGGCTGCTCAGTGAGCTGTAACAGGCTACTAAATGGCAGATGGGGGGAGGGGTGTGGGGACAGGGCACCCCGCTTGTGCCCTGGACCTGGCCCAAAAGAGCCTCTCACCTGATGGCTGGCTGGAAGGCCACTACATACAAGCCAGATCCTGTCCTCTCTTTAGGCTCATTTAGAGGTCTCACCAGGTGGAGGAAGAGGATGGACAAAATGCTTCGGGACTGGGTGGGTCCACCTTTCAGTCTAAACAGAGGCATAAACACAGCTGCCCAGAGGTCCAGGTGAAACGGACCTGGTGCGGAGGGACGTGGTGAACTGTCTGAAGGGCAGCCACTACTCAGCCCCAGCTGGTTGCTATCATATAGGACATATGTGTTGCCAGACCTGACTTAGAGCAGTCAAAAATATGAATTTTTATACAAATTTTTATCTGGCAATTAATTGAAAAAATGTCTGTCAGCAAACAGGATATGGCCCACAGTCCGTGGGTCTTCAACCTCGGGATTGAATGTGCAGTCCCTACCGGGAAGACAATGAGCTGCAGCCCCATCCTAACTCTGGCCACCCCCACCCTCCATCCAGGCATGCCGGCTGCTGCTCCAGGCCACTCCCATCCTGAAGCCCAAGATGACATCCAACAGCACTGGGGAGGTGCCCAGCCCCATTCCCATGGGGGCTCTGGGGATTTCCCTGGCCCTGGCAAGCCTCTTCGTCACGGCCAACCTACTCCTGGCCCTGGGCATTGCCTGGGACCGCCACCTGCGCAGCCCACCTGCTGGCTGCTTCTTCCTGAGTCTGCTGCTGGCTGGGCTGCTCACAGGGCTGGCACTGCCCATGCTGCCAGTGCTATGGAGCCGGAGCCGCCGGGGCTACTGGTCCTGCCTCCTCCTCTTCTTGGCTCCCAACTTCTCCTTCCTCTCCCTACTCGCCAACCTCCTGCTGGTACACGGAGAGCGCTACATGGCAGTGCTGCGGCCACTCCAGCCCCCTGGCAGCACTCGGCTGGCCCTGCTCCTCACCTGGGCTTGCCCCCTGCTCTTTGCCAGCCTACCGGCTCTAGGGTGGAACCACTGGGCCCCAGGTGCCAACTGCACCTCCCAGGCTGTCTTCCCAGCCCCCTACCTCTACATCGAAGTCTATGGGCTCCTGCTGCCTGCCGTGGGAGCTGCAGCCCTTCTCTGTGCCCGTGTGCTAGCCACCGCCCACCGCCAGCTACAGGACATCCGCCAGCTTGAGCGGGCAGTGTGCCGCGATGCACCCTCGGCACTGGCCCGGGCCCTCACCTGGAGGCAGGCAAGGGCGCAGGCTGGAGCCACGCTGCTCTTCGGGCTGTGCTGGGGGCCCTATGTGGCTACTCTGCTCCTCTCGGTCCTGGCCTATGAGCAGCGCCCACCACTGGGGCCTGGAACACTGTTGTCCCTCCTCTCACTAGGTAGCGCCAGTGCAGCAGCCGTGCCCGTGGCCATGGGCCTGGGTGATCAGCGCTACACAGCCCCCTGGAGGGCAGCTGCCCGAAGGTGGCTGCAGGTGCTGCGGTCAAGAGCCTCCCAGGGCAGCTCTGACCCCAGCACTGCCTACAATACCAGCAGCCAATGCAGTGTCAACCAAGACTTGAACCAGGGGAAGGGCTTCTGACTCCTACCAGAAACATCCATCCATCTCAGCCACCAAGCCCCTCTCCACTTGTCCCCACTTCTCTGGATCAGAGACCCTACCCCTATTTGATCACACCCTGTCTGAATAAAACTACTCTGGACTTTTATGGTTATCTCATTCCATATCTCAGAAAGGGAGAGGCAGGGGAACAGCTACACAAAGAACCTGAAGACACGCATGTCCACCAAGAGAGGGGGACTGCAACTCCAGACAGGCGAGTCAACCGCCACTTGCGAGAGGGTGAGCTGACGCACCTTGACATCAAGCAGACTTAGGGGAGATCCTCACCATGACACGGCCCTCACTATTTTCCCCTTGTGTCCAGCTGCCACAAAGTCCACACAGACACCATCTCTGGGAAGTATATTTTATTTACATTTTTAAAATCTGTAACTAGTATCTCTTCCTCCTTTCCACCCCCAGAGACTTGGGAAGGGAAAGAACGGGAACCTCAAAGACCTACTCCCCACATACAAATACGCACCCCCATGGCTCACACCAGCAAATGAAAGTGAAAGAGAGTTCTGACCCCTCCCTCCGAAGGGCCCATCAGGTCTGGGCGAGAGAGAAGGGAGGGCGGGCGAGGGTTGGGTCTCTAAAGAGAAGAAAAGGACAGAGAGGGGGCAAGTCAGTTGAAGGGGATGGAAAGTAGTCCAGGCCCCTCCTCTCCTCTTCCCTCTGTACCCTACCACCTCTTCATCCCCAACACCAGACATGAAGCCAGAGACTGCAGCCATTAACGGTCAGGTCTCTGGACACAAAATACTTTCGCTTTGTGGTCTCCTGATGTGGTCACCACCAGGGAGGCATCCCTGTGGACAGAAAGCATGGGGTTAAAGGGCCCAGCCCCAAGCCCCTACGCGGGGGCCCTCAGGTGGGCTCCTCCAGCACATCCTCCCTTTTAGACCCCTAGTGCCTGGTGCTGTGCTGCCACATCCATGCAACCAGCAAGGGGTTCAAAGAAGGAACCCCCAGCACGGGAGAAGCACAGAGCTGAGTAGCACAGGGAACCAGCCTCAGCTTCTCGCCAATAACTCAGATGTGAGACCCAGAGGAAGGCCACTCTCAAGTGCTGGGAAGGGGGCTGGATCAGAAGCAATGAACTCCCTCAGGCTTCCCAGCATTCCTGTCACAGGCCTGGGTCCTGTTCCTTTAGGAATCCCCTCCCACACCCCAAGCACCCTGTGTCCCCCACATGCTACCCCCACCTTCCAAATACATAGAGATCCCAGTCCTTGCCCAATTCACTTACTTGCTGAGGGCAAAGTCAAGGATCTCAGCCGTATGGCCCCGGTAGTCAGTGAGCAGGCGGCCAGTCCGAGCATCCCACAGACGCACGATGCCGTCCAGGCTGCAGGTGTAAACCACGGCGGTGCCCGCCTCCCACAGCAGCTGCACAATGCCCGACTGCCCCAGGGCACAACAGAGGCAGGGCAGAGGTCAGGGGTGGGAGAGCTGAGAGGCATCACTCCCAACTCTCATGGAGGAAGTACCACAGAAAAGGACCCAGCAGGAGCCAGGTCTGGGGTAGATGCTCCCAGAAGCCTGGGCTTCCCCAAAGCCATGGCCACTACCCACAGGGAACCCAGATCCAGCCACCCGTACCTGGTGCTGACACTGGTGCCTGAGGGTCTGTGTAGACAGGTCATAGATGGCCAAGGTCCCATCCAGGTAGCCAACAGCTGCCAGAGGCATCCTGAGCAGAGGACAGCACCATGAAGGCTCATGAGGACCTAGACTCACATGCCCTGGTACCCCAGCCCACGCTCTGCCCACAAGCCACCTATGCTCCCAATCCTGTCCCCCAGCCTAGGCCCTGGCTCACACTCACACACTGCAGAAGCCCAAAGACTCCACTGAGTTGGACTCGCTCTCCTCCCCTTCTCCCAGGTTGGGCTGGGAGGCCACAGTCTCGGGTCTGAAAACACCCACCACCTACAGGCAAGGAGAGGATAAGAGGAGAGCCTGCAATCTCAGTCCTCAGAGAGGAAAGGCAGGTGAGGAGAGCAGGCAGAGTGAAGAATAAGACAGGAAGGGGAAGGGCTGGCCAGTTAGCTCAGTTGGGAGAGCATGGTGCTAATAACACCAAGGTCAAGTGTTCAGATTCCCATACAGGCCAGCTGCAAGAAAAAAGAGGGGCTGGAAGAGAGAAGACTCAGGAAAACAGAGGCCACCCAGCCACTCACCTTGCCAGTGGTGGCACTGACCAGCTTGGCCTGGCAGTCCACAGAACCAGTTAGGATCAAGCTACCATCCTGGTTGGTGGCAACACAAGTTAGAGGGCCCTGATGACCCTCAGTGCCTAGGATGGACAGAAGGACAAGTCAGGCTTCATCCTGTCTTCCCTCTGAGTCCTGCCCCGGCTTCTCAGCCCTCTACCCACAAAGGTCCAGTTTCCCCAGCTCTGCTACCTTTTAGTACATGGATGGGGTTTCCCTGCTTCAGGTCCCAAATCCTGATGGTGCCATCTTCATAGCCTACTACAGCTCTCTTCCCTAAAGGGCCAGAGGCACAGATGAAGAGAGGACAGAGACTGCTCTCAGACACATCAAGCAAGGGAATGGGGGGAGGGGGAAGAGAGAAGAAGGTAAGAGCACAGACACTGCCCCAGAAAATCACAGATGAGACCCAGATCAGGTAGGAAGGAGGTGCTGTCAGCTTTTGGGCCTGGGAGGTCAGCACTCCCAAGTTTAGGCCTGAGTTTGCCAGCTGTGGCCCAGGAGGGAGCTTAGGGAGGTGCATAACCCCGGATTCAATCTGTGCACTCAGGACAGAACACTCAAGGAAGCAACTCTCACCATCGGGGAGGACGCGGCCACAGGTGGCTGGGCAGGTAGGGCCCTGGAAGGTCTTGCAATCACCATTCGGGACCTTCCACATCCAGGTGTTGCCATCAGCTGTGCCTGCCAGTAGAACAGGTGCCCGAGGGTGCCACTCCATCCACTGAGCAGAGAGGAAGGGTCAACAGGGAGGCCCATCACCCCATCCCACCTAAGAGGCTGCCTCATGAGCCCTACCCAAACTTTTCCTGCTTCTGGGGCCAGGGGGGCTTTCCAGATAACAGATACAGACATTTTTGCTGTACACTGACTCAGAGCTGGCTTGGTCTAAAAAAGAGGGCTGCCCCCCCCCCCCAGCTTCCACCCCCTACCCACAGCCCCACAGAATTGAAACCCATTCAGATGATCTCACCTCCAGGTCTCCTGCTTCGAAGGACCAGACCTCCTCCTTAGTGTCCACCTGCCACACTTTCAAGAGGCCACTCATGTCACCTGTGGCCACTAAGGTGGAGTCATGGCTGAAACCAGCACAAGTCACAGAGTCTTTATGGCCTGCAAACAGAAGTGGGCAGAAAGAGAAGAGAACAATAGGATACCTGGTGCTGGAGGCACAGGACCCAGGTATCTGGCCCCTTGAAAGAACTAGCTAAGAAAAAAATGGGCAAACCCCTGCAGAGCAGGTGAGCAAACTCACTGCCACTCCAGGAACCAACACCCACAAGACCCCCCAGGAGAGATATTGCTGGCCCCCCACTCAACCAAGTGGAGCCCAGACCTCCTGTCTTACCCCTTCTGTCCCCTCTGCCCATTTACTCCCATGCCAACGTTGCCTCCTCTCAGACCTTTTATAGTCTCCCTTGGACCAATCAGGACCTCCTGCCCCTGTGCCCACAATAGACTATGTTACTCTCTTTGGGTCCCTAAGGCCCAGCACAGAGCTAGCACAGAACAGAGGTCAATGAATGGCCACTGGATGCACAACCACGGGCCAGTTCCCTAAGATCTCCAAAGGAACACGGCCTCACCCAGGCCCCAACCCTAGCCCCTCACCTGCACACTCAAAGAGCAGCTCCCCATCGCTGAGCCTCCACACGAAGGCTTTGTCATCTTCACCTCCCGTCACTGCCAAGGTGTTGGTCTTGGGGTCCAGGCTCACGCAAAACACAGATGCTGTTCCAAGAGAGATATTCCATGGGGAAGGGGATGGGGCTCCCACCTAAGGTTCTGTCCTTCAGAACCTTCAGGAAGCCCACCCCCTTCCACCCAAAGCAACATGTCTTCCCTCCTGGAAAAGAGCATGCATCCACGTTCTTCTAAATCTCAAGCATCAGGTTGTTAAAGAAATCCTTCCCCAAGGTTGCTAAGCTCCAAGTCCTTCTCCAGGACAGATCCCCCTACTGGGATGTGCCCTTCAACCCCCCCCCACACACACACACTGACACCACGGGCAAGAGATGGGTACATGCGCAGGGCTTACAGTTCTCAGCATGGATGACACCAGGCTGGATGCAAACCAAGTGATGAGGGCATTTTGTTTTTGGTTTCTCACTAAGAGCTAATATTTAGAAATTATATAAAACATGCTCAAAAAACTATTGTTACCTCTAATCTTCACTCAGGTTACTTTTACTAACTTTTATCAAACACAATTTTTCAGAAAAAAACTAAGACCCAGAGAGGTTAATAAAGGTACTAAGCTGGTAAGTGGCAGAGCTGGATTCAAACACAGATGTCTCAACTGACTCCAGGTGCCGCTCTCATCCATCCCACCATACTGCCCCCACCTGTGAGCTCCTCCAGGGCAAGGCCAGCATCTTTCCCATCTCTGTCTCCCTCATAACCTCAAATGTCCACCTGGACTGGTTTAAGGCGGATCTCCTCAGAGACCTACCTGAGTGCAACGCAAAGGTGACCTCGCTGTCGTCGGGGCCCTCCATGCTGCCGACCACTCCTTCCTGGGGCTCCAGAACCCAGCTCTCCTCGTTGCCCTCTTCCTCTTCCTCCTCTTCCTCGAAGTCCACATCCTCCATCTCCTGGGCCAGATCATCTGCTTTGGGGAGAGGATTCAAAGATGCGGCTCGGGAGGCGGTAAGAGGGATGGGGAGAAGCGTGAGAGGCCTGATGCTGGAGTGGGTCATATTCGCAAGAGGGTAAGGTGGAGTCAGACACATGGGGGGCAACGGGGACGCGAGGCGGCAGGGAGGAGGGGGCGTGAGGGTTGGAGGAGGGGGCGAGGTCTGAGGACCTCGGTTGGCCAGCGACCGTGTGGGAAGGGAGGACCGAGGGGATGATGGGAAGGGGGTGTGTGAGGGGAAGGGCCAGAGGAGGCGTCAGGGAACCCCCACCCCGGCCAGGCCTGAGAACTAACTGCGGGGGTGGGGAAGGGGGAAGGGAGAAGGCTGTCGGTACGAATGACCAGTGGGGTATGGAGAGGAGGGGGGAAAGCAGCGGTCAGAGGCCAGGGGTGAGCGCCTCCTGTCCCATGACCTGAGGAGCGGCAGTTCTCACCCGGGTCCGGCGGACCGGGATCCAGTTCTACCACCTCGATAATCTCTTCATCGCCATGGAAGCTTAGGGTCTCCAGTGGGGGGGTGTCAGCGGCGGCTCCGCTTTCGGATTCGGACTCCATGCGGCGCAAGCGGCCGATCCACTTCTCTGGGCCCAAACGCCTCCCAGAGTCAGCTCTGCGCGACGACGCGGAACTCGAGCCCCTCCTCCCGGGAGGAAGTAGGCGTAGGCGACTCCCAGGCAGAGAGAGCGACGGCCGCTCGGCCAATAGAGGCGGGACTTGACTGATCGAACCACCAATCACAGCGTAGAGCTGGGAGAAGGGGCCGGGGCGTGGCGAGGAGAACCCAAACTCCGCCCGGCCCGACCCCGCCCCCAACAGGAGGGAAACAAGCGAGCGTGCGCGCCTCCGGGGTCTCCTGGGAAGGGTAGTTCTCCAGGGTCCGCTCTGCGGGCTTCTGGGAGATGTAGTTTCTGGTCTGTAGGCAGGACGGAAGGAGCGGGGGAGGCCCCTTACGCAAACTACAATTCCCGGCGGAGAGCGCGGTGAAGGGGGGTGGGATCTAAACATGGCTGCGGTGGTAGCTGCTACGGCGCTGAAGGGCCGGGGGGCTAGAAATGCCCGCGTCCTCCGGGGTAAGGAGAGGGACCCGGGGGAGGGCAGGACTGCAGGAGATCCTTTTTCTTTCACTTCCCACCCGACGATAGCAAGAGGTCAGGGCTGTCGATCCTTGCCCACATTCTGCAGAATCTTAAAGAGTCTGGGGGTGAAAAGATGCTCTCTAGAGGTCAGCCAGTCCATCCCCCTGCCTTTGGGTTGCAAGACTCCTCTGGGGTCTTGCTGCGAGAGGGCGTCCCGAGGAAGCCTTTCAGACCCCCGCGCTCCAGGTGTTTCACACTCACCGCAGTGCAGAGGAAAGAGCCTTTGGCTTCTGGAGGCTTGGGTTCTAGCCCCGGGTTATTAGCAGTTTGACCTTGGGCGAAGCCGTTCGTCTCCCGGGACTTCAGTTTCCTCTTGTTTGAAATGAGGAGATGGAGTAGACTATCTTTAAGCCCCCTTCCACTGCTAACATTCTGCAGTTTTAAAATCTTTTCCTGGATTTTCTTCATACGTCTCATGTGAGTCCCATTGCAGTCCTTCCCATCCTGTCGTCTGAGATGAAGAACAGCGAAGCTCGCTCTCCTGGCACCAGGGTGATGAGCTCGCAGTGACGTGGAAGTGGCTTCCAAAGGTGCCACCTTGATGGCGATTTTCCCATTTCTCTCTGGATTTTCCCTCATACTTGTTAATTTAAACTGAGCCCTTCCTCAGATCTCAACCACTCCTCCCCAGTCACTACCCACCCCAACCCCCCACCCCCTCCGACTTTCTCCTCATCCCCTTTTACTGACCTTCCTTACCTCCATCCACAGGGATTCTCTCAGGAGCCACAGCTAACAAGGCTTCCCAGAACAGGACCCGGGCACTGCAAAGCCACAGCTCCCCAGAGTGCAAGGAGGAGCCTGAGCCCCTATCCCCTGAGCTGGAATACATTCCCAGAAAGAGGGGCAAGAACCCCATGAAAGCTGTGGGACTAGCCTGGTAAGTTTTAACTACCCCTTTGCCCACCAATGGGGAGTGGCGTCCAGGGGAGGGCAGGACCCAGAAACTTCTCAAAGTTTCAGATGGTGAGCTGAATTTAAAGTTGTGGAGCAGAATTGCTGGGTTCAAGGATTGGAACTTCACAGGAGTAGAGAAGCGGAAGTGGGAAAGTTTGTGGAATTGGGGAGACAGTGGGTTTTCTGTGGAGTAAGCTGAGCTGATTGAAATTTGGGTCCCCGGCCTCATCCTCCTTGTGGGAGCTTGGGGTGAGACCCAAGTTCCAGTAGTTAATTAAGATCACGTGAGATTGTGTTATTTGTACAGTAGCACCTAGAAGGTGTTCCGAACATTATCTGGATCTGTCTCTGGCTGTAAAACATATATTAAATGACCTATATATATTATGTTAATAATATATTAATATAAAGCATATATTAATATGATCAATATTAAAGGGAAAGGAGGAGGAAATTAACACTTTTTTCAGCACCCGAGGTGTGCCAGTATTTACCATATAATGTTTTAGTCTTTCTGAGATAAATATTACATCCCTATTTCACAGAGGAGGGAACTGAGGCTCAGAGCAGGGATTCTCACCAGGTCTTGTAACTCCATGCTCTTTCCCCCACACCAAGGTGCCGCCCAAGTAGTGGTTACTCAGATTAAGAAGGGGAGTCTGGGAGGGGATGTGGGGCAGTATAGGCAGAAGGGACTTTTGCCAAGACTTGGAGAGGGAAAGAGACTGGGCTGCCTGGAGAATTACACATAGGTGCTAAGGCGGGAGTGCAGGGTTCATGCTGAGGAGTATCAGGCTCTAGGGGAAGGGAGTGAAGAGGTAGGCAGAGATCCAACCATACTGGGCTTTTTGTGCCATGCTTAGGAGTTTGGATTGGCCAGGAAGTAACGGAGAGCTGTTACGGGATTTTAAGCAGGGCAGCGGCAGGATCTGATTTGTGTGGGTCCCTCCAACAGCCAGCCTGGAAGACGAATAGACATGAGGTATTGCAGCATTCATGCAATTGATGAAGCTGGAATAACATCCCCCATCTCCTCTGGCTCAGGCTTGGCCCCTCCCCAAACCCCATGCACATCTCCCCACCCCTAGGGCCATCGGCTTCCCCTCTGGTATCCTCCTCTTCATCCTCACCAAGCGGGAAGTGGACAAGGACCGTTTGAAGCAGATGAAGGCTCGGCAGAACATGCGGGCGTCCAACACGGGCGAGTATGAGAGCCAGAGGTTCAGGGCCTCCTCCAAACATGCCCCAGCCCCTGAAGTCGGGTCCGGGGTGCAGGCCTGAGGAACACTGCAACCCTCCCCTAGACTGTATTGACTGTGAAGTCCTCCGGTTTGGCGGTGATTCTGGTGCTTTCCTCTGAGGTCCACCAGAGGGTGTGTGAAGCCCGGGTTGCTGCCAGCCCCCGCCCCTCCCACACCGAGGAGCTTGCCAAAGGCAAATAAAGTTATTGAGTGTTTGAGTGGAAGGGAACCAAGTCTGGGTTTGTGAGTCCCTTGGGATGGGAGCGGCAGAGGGTGGGGTTGGTTACTCATGTGTGTTCCCTCTCATAGAAGAGCTCAGTGTGCCCAGATGGATGGTGGGGCAACCACAGAGACTTGAGTACAACAAGCCTAGGCCGAGGCCCTGGAGACCAAGCCCTCAGAGCTGCTGGCCAGGAGGGTGGGGTCCCACTCAGCTTTGAAACAAATAATAAAGAGAGTCGAAGGCATTCTGGGTGTGGAGGGGAAAAGGCACTACTTACTCTTGGCCAAGTCCAAATGACTCAACCTCTCTGGGCCTCAGTTTCCTCATTTTAAGAGATTGGACTGGTGATTTTTTTTTTTTTTTTAAAGATGACCGGTAAGGGGATCTTAACCCTTGACTTGGTGTTGTCAGCACCACACTCAGCCAGTGAGCAAACCGGCCATCCCTATATAGGGATCCGAACCCGTGGCCTTGGTGTTATCAGCACCGCACTCTACCGAGTGAGCAAACCGGCCATCCCTATATAGGGATCCGA